GGGAGGGCCTGGAGGCGGCGGCGGGCCCTGGCGCTGGCGTCCCGCGTCGTACCGCTTGGCTTCTCGAAGGCTTACCGTGTGGCAGGCCCTGTGCCAAGTGCTCGACGTGTGTTAACCCACCGGGAGGAAGTGGGAGACCGAGGCACGGAGCAGTGTGTCTTGGGAGCTCCGGGCATCGCAGAGCCGCCCGCGTTCCTGGAGAGCATCTCGCGGGGCTGTAGGCTGGGGAAGTTGAGAGCGGTGTATGCAGAGGTCGCTCACCTAGGCGATGGGTGCTCAGGCCGCTGTTCTTTCTGCTCTGGTCTTTCCTCGCGCTCTGGTCTTTTCCCTGGCAGTGCCTGGAAAACTACCCATCCTTTATCCTCCGAAGCCTCTTCTGAAGACCTCTCCTTATTTTGCCCAACTCACACCTGTTTGTAGAGCTGTTGTATTTGCCGGTGGTCTCTGAGCCGAATCTGTCTGTCGCAGTGGACTCAGCTCGGTGGGAGGTGAAGCTGAAACTCTGCCCTCCCGCTCCTGGCGAATGGGAGCCCAGCTGTGCGTGAGCACCTACAGGGCAGCGTGTTCTCACGGCCACGCGCTTTCCTCTGCCGAGCTAGTGCTGTAGTATAGAAAGGGTTACCGTCATAGCTTCTGTGACACATTTAGGCCAGTGGGATTTCCAAAACTTTAAGGGGCCTGAGATTGTGTTAGGTCCTCGGTGCAGAAAGAGGATATGAGGCATTGACCTTGTCCTCATGGGGCTCGCAGCCAGCAGGATAAAACACACCACCAGTGCTGAGTGGCATGGCATAATTTGTACTATATATACTACATATAGTGTGCAGACTTACTATATATATGTGTGTATGTATATATATTCCTAGACTGTAGGGTGCTAGAGCAGTTAAGCTGTTTGAGTTTCAGTTTCCTCATCAAGTCTGGAGATGGAATAATCCAAAAGATGTATGAGGTATGTGTATCATTTACTGATTCATGAAAATAGTACTCATTCCTTTATTCTTTAAATTAAAAATTTTGGGGGTTTTCAATTGTAAAATATACATAAAACCTACCATTTTAACTGTACAGTTCATTGTCATTAATTACGTTCATATTTTTGTGTGACGGTCATGGCCATCCATCTCATGAAGTTTTTTATCTTCTCAAACTGAAACTCTGTGCCCTTTAACATTAACTCTCTTTCCCTTCTTTCAGCAGTACCCCTACTCATTACCATTTTATGTTTTGTTTCTATGAATCTCTACTTTACAAGTACCTCATACAAGTGGCATCATGGTATATTTGGTCCTTTGTGAGTGGCTTATTTCACTTAATAAATCCTCAGGATTCCTCCATGTTGTAAGGTGTATCAAAATTTCCTTTTTAGGGCTGAATTCCATTGTGTGTGTGTGCCATGTTTGGTTTTATCTATTCAATCATCAATGGATGTATGGGCTGCTTCTGCCTTTTGGCTATTGTGAATAATACTACTATGAATATGAGTGTTAAAATCTTGGGATGAGGGGCTGGGAGTATAGCTCAGTGGTGCTGTGCCTGCCAGGCAAGTGCAAGGTCCTGAGTTCAATCCCCAGTATTGCCAAAAAAAAAAAAAAAAAAAAAAAAAAAAAAATCAGGATGAATTCTGAGTAGCTCCTGTACACTGCGCCCTGGAGAATGTGCAGTTGCGCCAGGACACTGTTGTCCCCTCATTTTACTTAGAAAATTGCTTGAATATAATTTTGATATCCACTGAGCTGCAAAGCACTCTTGTATTCAGGTTTCATTTAATTTGCAGTTGGAACATTAAGCATTAGCCAGGTGTGGAGGTGCACACTGTCATTGCAGCTAGTCAGGGGGCTGAGGCAGGAGGATGTAAGTTCAAGGCCAGCCAAAGCAGTTTAGTGAGACTGTGTCAAAGCATTAAAAAAAAACAAACAAAAAACCCCTCATGCGTGAGGTCTTGAGTTCAGATCCCCAGTACCAAAAATAATTGTTGCACTGTTGACTTCCTGGCCTCCAGGTACATTTTTTTTCTTGAAGTTGCAGGTCAAGGTTTTGTAACCTGGACCTTGATTATGTAAGTATACAGCAGGTGGCCATGGTGGATAATATAAGGTCAGTAGGATTGCCTAATCACATCCTTTTCAGTGTCACCATGCTAGTGGTTCATAGGCAGTTGTCCAGGGTCAGGAGTGTTTGGGTGGAGCAGGCTTTGATACCTAACAACCATGAGGCCATGGCTTAGTTTGTGTCTTAGAGGAGGAGGGTCATTTTCATGGGATCATGGCTCTGTTTTTATTATAAGAACTTTTCATTTCTTACTGTCTTACTTTTTTTGTTTGCTTGTTTTTTGGAGACAGGATCTTACCATGTAGGTCATGCTGGCCTCATATTCACTATGTGGCCCGTGTAGGCCTCAAACTCACAGCCTTAGCTTCCCAAGGGGTTGGGGTGATGGGTGTGTTATACGCCACATCCATCCTGACTTACAATTTAACTTCTTTTCTTTGTTTTTCTGGTACTGGAGATTGAACTCTGCGCCTCACATGTGCTAAGCAAGTGAGTCACCGTTGTGCTATATCTCCAACCCTTTTTATTTTTTGAGGCAGATTCTTTCTCAGTTGCCCAGTTGTCCTCTAACTTGCTATCCTCCTGCCTCAGCCTCCTGAATAGCCTTCTGTCTGCTACTACCCTCAGTCATTTTGCTGAAGTTTGAGCATTTATAATATCTTCTTAAAGTGTCAGCAGTGGGGCTGGGGAATTGAGCTCAGTGGTTCCACCGCCTGCCTCACAAGCACAAGGTCCTGAGTTCGATTCCTGGTACCAAAAAAAAAATCTCAGCAGTTTTAAGTCTTGAAAATGGGCTGACAATGATAAAAACCTACCATTTCTTAAACATCTCTGATATGGTAGCTAGCTATTTTTTACTTACTGCTTTTTATTATGGTCATTCAGCATTAGTTAACCACATCAAACCTCTCTACTAGTTTACATTACTGCAGTTAACACCAGAGGGAAGATTGTCACAACTGCTGTAGGATACCGGCTTTAACAAGCGGTGGGCTTGCACTGAACCCTGGGTCTTCTGCAGACCTCCCCGCCTTTGGGAATGATGATCAGTGTCACCCAGTTGCTTTGGTACTGAGATAGGAAGTTGTAGTGCATAGGGAGTGGGGGGAATCTTCTTTAAACTGCCTGCCTAGCAGGAAGGATCCTGCATTTGAAAACAGTTGAAAAAGATTTGTGGTTACAGTAGCTAACTGTACTCCAAAGTCCATTTGATTAAATCATCATTTTAGGTTGAATTCCCATGGTGGTATACTATGTTAAAGCTTCCCACAACTTTGAAAATTTATACTTGAATAAGCTGTTGCTTAATATGGAAATTTTGTGCAAAATTGAACCCTTCCTTAAATTAGCATTTCTTTCTTAGTTGCTGAGAAGTTGCGTTGTTTACAAGAGCTTTTATGTTTTTAATGCCGCCTACCACGAGTGGTCCTTGCTTTGGAGACAGAACAGACCTTAAATTGGGCCATTCACACAGTGAGCCATCTGCTTGTGCATCCTCAGTGGTGCACTGTACACTGCCTCTGGAGGCGTGAAGGAGCCTTAGGGGTACAAGGAGATGGTAGTATCTAGAGGTTCGGTATATCAGTCATTCTGGGGAGACAGTTAAATATCAAGAAATGACTTTAACAGTGTTTGAAAAAATTAGTGTATGACATGACTCAAATGATGAAATTACCTGCTAAACAAAAGAACCCTGTCAGTGCAATATAAGTAATTCTCTACAATAAGCCAGAACCTTTTAGCCTCTCAGTTTATTCATTTATGAAGTCATTATTGACATCTTGCTTTGAAACTTAAAATCTCAGGTGTTGTGGCTACAACATGTAGTCATTAATATAGAGAGAGTTTAGTGCATGCCAGGTATTTAAGAATATGAATTCAAGCCGGGCGTGGTGGTACAAGCCTGTAATCCCAGCACTCGGAGGTTTAGGCAGGAGGATCGCTGTGAGTTTGAGACCAGCCTGAGTTACATAGTGAGTTCCAGGTCAGTCTCAACTACATAGTGAGACCCTGTCTCAAAAAACAAAAAACAAAACAAACAAAAAGAATATGAATTCATTAGGCTGGGCGTGATGGCGCATGACTGTAATCCCAGCACTCGGGAGGCTGAGGCAGGAGGATCGCTGTGAGTTTGAGACCAGCCTGGGCTACACAGTGAGTTCCAGGTCAGTCTCAACTACATAGTGAGACACCCTGTCTCAAAAAACAAAACAAAAAAACAAAACAAAAAAGAATATGAATTCATTTACTCTTCCGAATAGTACCAAGAGGTAGGGGCTTTTTTATGTCCCACTTTACAGATGATGACATTCAGGGCACTGAGAAGTTAAGCAACTTCCCAAGGTCACACTGCAATCAAATGGCAGAACTGGGATTCAAACCCAGGCCCTGTGTCTTAGGAGGCTAGGGATGTAACTCAGTGGAGCATGTGCTTAGAACACTTGCGCCCGCACAGAGGAATCAGCTCAGTGGGCAAGATAAGGCTTAAATTCTGATGAATACAAGAGATTGTGGTGAGAGCCATGATCGTAGAAGAATGGACTGATGCGTGAGCAAATTGCCACAAAGGCACATTGATACCA